TTTCCTTCGTATGACGCAGCAGCAGGACGTAGGCCAGACGGCGCCGGATGAGACGGTGGCCCAGATGATCAGAGTCTCGTAGCACTGTCACCAACATCAGTACTTCTGTCTGAATTTTTCCTCGGACTCTTCATCCCAGCTAAGCATCGAACGCGTTTGTAATCCGTTCTGACTCACTACGCCCAACCGAGCACTCAGTGGCGCGCTTTTTGTTTTTCCCTAAACGTCTTTGCTGCTTTTCCAGAGAGTCGCTGCTGAGCCAGTGAGGATGCATTCATGCTAACGTTGTCTGGTTTCGTTTACAGGACCAGCAGCGTTTTGTTTTCTTTGGACTTTGTCGAAACATGAGAAATGAGGCCATACTCTGTCAAACCCTGTAAAAAAAAAAAGACTTTTCTCCAGTTGATGCATTTAGTTTTAAATCATTTTGTAAATGGTACCAGTTTTTTTAAGCATTTATTTTCACAACACAGCTGTTTTGTATTGTTAAGAATTCCTTTTAATTTGAAATGTAATTATTTAAACCTTTCTACTATTTGGAGTGTATCCTCCATCGTCTGAGGACAAAAGAGGAGTTGTGTTAGTACTTTGAAAATATTGTACAGAGAAATATTTGTTCCCTCGTGTGTGTTGACATCCTTACCAGTTCTGTTGGTGCATTTCATACAATTTATAGTTAAACTTGGTGTTTTGGCTGAAGCAAGGAATAGTTGAGTGTTGCATCACATTAACACACTATCAGTGTACAGTAGATCTTTTTTCTTTTAGTCCACATAGGTGGTTTTTATTTTATTGGAGGTAATAATTTTCTTTTTTTTATGCATCAAGTGCAGTCAATACTATTTTTTACAATGTTAAGTGGTTGAACATCGCTTTCATAAAATGTGTCAATAAAAATTTTGTAAAATAATTCAAGGTTATTTGTGTTTATTGAGATTAGTAGCAGTCATCAATTACATATTTCTAGTTCTTTTTAAATTAATGGCACATTTCTAATTTCCAGACTTGATGCAGGAACAATATAAGTGGGGCCGTAGATTCTCAGTGAAGTAAAGCTAAATAAATCTGACATCAAAGTAAAAAGTCATTGGGCTCTATGTGCTTTATGAGAGTCATTTTAATAGTTTTTATCCAAGCTTAAAGCTTCTTTATGGATTAATTTGATTTATTTGGATAATCTTTTCTCTTGTTGCATGTTCTTGTGCTTATAGGTGATCACCTTTGGACCAGACCTCCAATATTTCCTTCATGCATGTAGATTAAACATTCTGAAATCCCATTCTATGAGGTCACATTACAGGATTTATTAAAATCAAGTTACTTTAAACTTTGATATTAAAATGTAAAAATTCTTTTTTCCATCCCATTCTAAAGGAAATGGAATGAAAATCTCAAATATATTATTAATGCTATCCTTAAACTGGACCTTCTGGTACAGGACCATGAAAACAAACGCAGCCAATCAGAGGCTGAGGTGGTAGAAATTGGCTATGTGGCTAACCAATCAAATCAAAGTGAGGCGGGGCTTGATCCCAGTTTCCTTGGCAGATTTTACCATGGCAACGGAAAATTATCTACGCGTGCGCTAACTCGTGCATCAATCATGCAAATTACAAGTAAATATTCTCACTACAAGTAACGAGTAACGCTGGTGTTTTTTCTAATCCAACAGCCGGCTCTGACTGGATGACTCAGCCCGGATACCGCCTACTTCCTCAGGTGACGGCTCTAGCTACCCGCCCCCTGTCCGTGGCTGACATCCGAACCACAGGAGCGAAACAAGCTGCTCTTTTCCAGAGAACTAGAGGAACTTTGACGCGGGTTTTTGCACTTTTGCATTACTTCTTTAATTTTAAGCCACTGAGTGTAACTAGAGAGCAGGAAGGCGACGTGACGTTCGTTTAAACTCCATCAAGAGCCGGCTCTTTCTGTTATCTTTTACTATCATTTGCTCCTTTTCCTCCTCCATCCAGCATCCGTGTCACTCCGATGCAATGACAGACTCGGCTGTGGACAGCAAGGCGGAGGTTAAACAAGCCACCAAATACGTCAAAGAGACGGAGAACGTGGCGGAGAAATATTCCGCGTTGACTGTCAGCAAGAACAGCAGCGATGTGAACATGAACGTCGGGGAGATGCCCTCCGCAGCATTCACCGCAGTCCCGACTCTGAAATCCGTGAAAAAGGTAAGGAACGTGATGCCCGCCGCCATCACCGGCTGTCATTGGACAGAGATCAGACCGTCACATGTGAGGAGGATAAACGATAAACTCACGTTGGTGCAGAACTGTACCGCAGTCAGCTGCTGACAGGACAGTCGGCTGCAGAGTCAGATCATACACTTCTCACTTCTGTTTGTACGGATGGTGAAAGCTCACGATCTCATATTTATCAAAGCTATGCAAAGCAAATGTAAAGCAATTACAACAAACGTGAGTATTAAGGCGTTATTTATGTTGCCTTACTTTATTGTATGGCAACACAATGTTATCAAAAAGTATCTATGCCTCAGAAAGTGGAGACATTGCTTCAGGGAGAGGAGATCTGTGTAAAGAATGAAGACGTTACTGTGATAATTTACTCAAATCAACCATAAATTTCAATTAGACATTTATTCAACATGCAGGAATGTCCCATTTTTAGTTAATGAAACCAATTGAATGAGTTCAGATCATCGGTTCAGATGTGCAAAATAAGGAAGTGATTGCTGCACACCATACACCTGTGGGAAAAGACCTTGTGTTCCTGTCCTGGTTAACAATGGCTTAAACAGAAAGACCCTTCTCCTTAGGTGGCTGTTCATATTACAGGTCCACCACTGTGTGCAGCAGCTGGGAACAGGCCATGAGTAAACATGAGCTGAAGCACGGGTGATAGGGTAGAGGACATCTTTTGTTTCCCAGAGTCTGAAAAATGCGCCATCTTTTAAAAAAGTAGGTTTTCTTTTATTCTGATCTCAGCAGTGGCTTAAACCTAACGCCACTAATCAGCTCCTGATGCTCATTTCATCTTGTCCATCAAGTCATCATGACCTGAAACTAGATTTATGCCTATAAATACTGATATGGATGCTGATGTTTGCCATTCTCAAAACATAAAAAAAAAAACAAATAAAGAAAATTTAAACAGATATGTCAGTAATAATATATTCATATTTGTTATAACTGTATAAAATATTCATATTTGTTATAATTGTTGCATGTATTACAGCTATTTTTAAGTGACGCAAAGCAATCAAATCATTGTGGATCGAATGAGCGTTCATCATTTAAACTCTATTAATTAATTATTTAGAGTGAAGCTTAACGCTTCATTCTTCTAACCCTGCTTTTAGTGTCAATAATGCACATTTTTTTTGCATTTTCTTCTGCCCCCTTTTTTTTTAGAAGTTGCATGTTTTACTGCTTAATGCAACCTTCCTAAAACTCAGGGAAAAATTAGTCTCTGTGACTCAAAAATGACTAAGTAATAGATTACAAACCCCTGCAGATATCGTATGCCTTTCATGATTGTGGAACAACTGTCTGCATGTGTCAGTGTCACATGACAGTGCATGGAAAAGAACACTCACTCTGCAGATGGACACTACTTGACAATATGTAATAAAAAAACCAGACTGTGTCCTCTTGCACATTTACACTAACAGAATCAAAATGATTACTTTTCCAAAAGAAAGTTTGTTTTCTTTATATTTTTCCTGAAATGATTACTTTTCCAAAAGAAAGTTTGTTTTCTTTATATTTTTCCTGAAAAAGTGGACAAACATGTCTGATTAATAAAAACACTTATTTTCTCAGCAGCGGGGCTTCAGAATATTGGGTCAGACCTCCTGCCTGACAGGCAATAGCGTGCGGACCGCGATCCGCCTGAGGGAGCCTAGAAAACATATTGGATGACAGGAATGTGCACTGAGCCTATAAAAACAAACCAGCATATGAATGAATGTGAGGGCCTATTGATGAGAAATCCCTGTTGGTTTTGAAAAAAAAAACGTATGCAAAAAGTGGATGAGAAAGTGTTGGAGTATGATGGTGATGGCGTTTTCTGCTGCACCCCCAAGTGTGTTTTGGCTTCTAGCTTGGTTAAAGAAAGCTTAAAGATGTGGAACACTGAAAAAAAAAAACATTTTTTAAGTGATTAAAATCAATCACTCAAGAGTTTTTCATGCAGGCTGAACATGAGAATAGTCTAATACACCTATCATTAGCTTCTGATAGAAAATAGATGGTGAAACTAGGATTAGAAAATCCTGACAGATCTACGTCACACTGTCACTGAACGTCCATGGACTCACCCATCTTGACTCCCGACGGGGGAGGGCTGTTGCTGGTTTAGCATTCAGGAAACACCAGAGAACATCTTGACTAGTAGAAGCTAACCATTAGCATGAGCAACTTCACCACACAGCAGAACTCCTCCAGGCTTGTGTTATTTGTGGAGATCAAATGTAAACATTGCAAAACAGAGTCAGTAGTAGAGCCGCGTTGCAGTTATCCAAACCAGGGCGAGATGTCCAAATATCAGGAAAAAAGAAACCTGCCGTTTGAAGCTCAGCTGTGATGTGTACGACTAAAGACCAAAAGCCTCTTTTATATTGTACTTTTTGAGTTATTAAAGCAGTTTTACTAATTTAGGTGCTGTTTCTGATGAATGCAACACACTCATCTGAGTGGTTTCCCTCTCCTACAGGACTTATTCATTTGAACCCATCAGGATTCATCCAGGTGTTCTCATTTATCGGCTGTCGATGGGCTAAAAGCACATGTAGTTTATTTATTTATTTAATTTTATTTGCATTGTGTAATCTCACTGATCCATAGCATTCTGTTCTGTTTGCTTCTGAAATCTTGTGGTGCTTTATGTTGGTAATCAGTGGAAGTTACACTTTCAGCTAAAGGTCACACAGTCTCCGAGGGTAGACGGATTAGTGCTCTGTGTGTTTTTTCACAACACTGTAATCGGTTGTGCATGTGTTGATTAAATAGGTGCTTTTGCACTGATTTTGGAGTTTCGGCTTCACTTACATTTCTGTTTGTGCTCTGTTTGTGCATCAGGTTGTGTGTTTGTTGGGTGCAGCCGTTGTGCGTAAGCAATGAAGATGTTTGTGGATTACAGCTAGATGGTGCATTAGACCTGTAGTGGTGTCTGGTTAAGTAGTGTTGCCTTATGTCAGGACCACACTGAGCCCTTACGCCACTGAGCGACAGTCACACTCCACAGCTTATGTCTGTGACCTGGCCCGCTATCTGAGAGAGAACGGGTATTTTTAGCTGTAGGAACAAGAGGGGTGCCGATTAATGCAGCAGAAGGCTAATGAAGACAGGGTGTGATTCCACCTGCCAGTGGCCTTGCATTCAGTCATTTAAATGACGAATAAATAGGTTTTGTAACATGTGACTTGTTATAATGTTCTTGGACTTTATTATAAGTTAAAACCTAAAGAGTGTAGCTGCTGGTTGTCAAGAGCAGAGCCAGAGAAAGCGTCTTCCTTCCGTTTCAGTCCATTAGAAATCATGATGCTAGGTGGGACCCTCCCCTCGCTCTGCCTGGGAGTGTTCTGGGATAATAGCATCAGGGACACCTGGTACCATCCCACAGAGGACACCGAGGCTCAGAGAGGTAGAGTGGAGACCTGGGGAGAGAGAGAGAGAGAGAGAGAGAGAGAGAGAGAGAGAGAGAGAGGTAACGGGTGGCTATGGCACATAAACATGGACACAGTAGAGAACGGGTGAGTTACTACTAAAGCATCAGTGAATTTAACTTCTACATGTTGATTATCTCTTGTGAATTATCTTTTTTTTTTTTTTTTTTTTTTTGCTGTGAGCAGAAAGGTTTTCTCTCTGTTACTAAAACTTGCCGTTAAAGTGAAACTCGAGGCCTCATATCTAACGATTCTGCTGAATTCAGTGCAAAATGATGCAAAATGAAACTCTGCGTTCTGTTTTAGGAGACAGGTCACACTCAGGGTTGTGAAAACAGAGACGTGCAGAGAAACGCTCAGTTCATTCTGCCTCCCAAGCTTCTTGGGTTTCCTCTTACATGCTCACAGTAGATTATTGAAGCCCAGGTATCGCTGCCTATGGAAATTAGGATTGGGAGGTTTCTATGGTGATTTAATCAAAAGATTAAATCATTGATCATTAATCAGGATGAATGAGACTAAATCATGTGGTCTCTACAAGGCAACTGAGACATTTTTATATTCTGCTATTTGACTTTGTTTAATATTTAATCTAGCTTTTATTTTACCATTGGATCAGTTCGTTTCTCACTTTTAGTGGCAACTGAACATTTTGATTCATTGAATTCTCTCGTTACAACTGGATGTGAAAATGATCGTATCGTGTATCTGGGATGTTAAATGAGCCTATAGAGCACATGACACTCACATCATACCCATCTAGTTGTTAGTCTGCTATTAGTGCAGTTCCTAATTTATCTTGTGTGTGTTGTGTCAACTCTGCAGACGCGCTCGCTCGTTTGGACTCCAAACACGCGTTATAGGCAATAGAACTAAGGCGCCAAATGAAAAACTCAACGTTGTCACGCTGAAGGAAGACATTTGAAACCAGCAAATGTCTCAGAAGGCACAGAAGAAGCATTTTAAGTCGACGACGAAAGAGAAAAGATTTAAGTAGGAGAGGCAAAGTGTTCCAGGGAAAAAGAGCTCCAGATGGACAACAAACATGATTGCATCACAATGAGCGTGGTTATGACATTAAACAGGGCAGTTTGACAGACTCAATATCAAAGTCTGATCAGGGATCAGGAGTTCTTAGAAAAGGCAGACGGAGATCATACAAACCCGATCCATCTAGTTGTGTTAATGTCATAGAAGACAGTCGTAGGCTTGTTCTGCCGTCCTCTGTCTCCCTGAAATAAAGGGACATCACATGATTCCTGAAGTGCAACTTCAGTCTTCCTGTTCCCATAAAGTCCCACGTCACTGAGTCACCCGTGACCTTGCCATTTTTCTCTTTTATTTATTTGTTCTTTATTTAACCAGGAAGGTCCCATTGAGATTAAAAACCTCATTTTCAAAGGAGTCCTGGCCAAGAGCAGCAAAAGTTACAGTTATTTAAGAGCTGAAAAAGTATAAATATCCCTAAAATCCAAGCATAGAGGCTTTTATTCCATGCTAGGCTTGTAACCATTTTCTGATCCATCTCATGTGATCCCAGGTCTTTGATCTTGGGCACTTTGAAGATTTTGGTAGCATGATGAATCAGCCTGTGTGTTAGAACAAATCATAAATCACAGAGCAGGAAAGAACATCTAAAAATAAACCCCTTCTTCCTCCTTCACCTGCATTTGACTGCAAGAAGCTGAGTTCATTTTTTGAAACTGATAGTTTTGTGGCTGAAGCAGCAAAACGAGTCCAAACATAATCAGAGAATGAACACTTAATGTAGATTAACTGTTTGGGTATTTGTGCCCCGTGTCTTCTTTTTCTCTCTAGATTCAGTTTGCAAACGCAGAAGACAAACAGGAATTCAGCAAATTCCCGACCAAGGCGGCCGTCGCTCGCTGTCACGCTCCATCTCTCAGTCCTCCACGGACAGCTACAGCTCAGGTATATGGAACAAGTGAATCCAGCATTAACATTTCCTTGTTGAAGAACTTGTTTCTAAAACCCGACACTAGAAAGTCAACTCTGGAGTGAGAGTAGGGAACAGGTGGAACCAAAACCTATGAAAACGTGTGAGTCAATGAGAGAGAGAGAGAGAGAGAGAGAGAGAGAGAGAGAGAGAGAGAGAGAGAGAGAGAGAGAGAGAGAGAGAGAGAGAGAGAGAGAGAGAGAGAGAGAGAGAGAGAGAGAGAGAGAGAGAGAGAGAGAGAGAGAGAGAGAGAGAGAGAGGAGAGAGAGAGAGAGAGAGAGAGAGAGAGAGAGAGAGAGAGAGAGAGAGAGAGAGAGAGAGAGAGAGAGAGAGAGAGAGAGAGAGAGAGAGAGAGAGAGAGAGAGAGAGAGAGAGAGAGAGAGAGAGAGAGAGAGAGAGAGAGAGAGAGAGAGAGAGAGAGAGAGAGAGAGAGATGGGTTTAATGGTGAAGCTCCAAGGAGAAGCCGTAAAGGTGGATGAGTTTATGTAAATGGAGTCGAGCATTCAATGCAGTAGGGAGGATTGTGGTGGGAGGAGAGAAGGGGGGGGGGGGGGGGGGCTGTGGCAGTAGGAGGTGGGGTTTGGAAAAGGTAGCAAAAGCTGAAGATGTGATTAAAGGGTTCAGAATTAGAAAGGAGAGAGGAGTTTATCAGAGAGACAGCCAGGAGACAGAAGTAGAGACGATAGCTTTATAGAACAAAGGATGCCTTCCTATGAAGCCACTTGCCGGGGAGGAAACCAGGTGAATGAAGGAAGCATTCTCCTTTCACACAGCTGACTTACTTCATAATTGGCTCCCTGTTGCACTTTACCACCAGAGTGATCTTGTGTTCATTTCCTAGCTGCATCGTACACCGACAGCTCCGATGATGAAACCTCCCCCCGGGACAAAGCCCAGGTCAACTCCCACGGCAGCACCGACTTCTGCGTGAAGAACATCAAACAGGCAGAGTTTGGCCGTCGAGAAATTGAAATAGCAGAGCAAGGTATGCGGCTCAGCCCACACCAGTAGATGCTTCTTCAGGAGACTGGAGGTTAAAAGGACAAATTCCTTCCCATAAAATACTGTGTTTGCAACTTTTGTTCCAAATGTGTTTCCCTGAAAGAGAGACGTTGATGCTTTTTGTGGTTATTACTGAGTATTAGGGATGCACCAATACCACATTTTTCCAAACCGATACGATACCGATACTTGGATCTGAGTACTCGCCGATACGATTACCGATATTGATACTTCTACCACAAAAATAGCAATGAATTGGAATACAGGTTTTATTTTCTTCTCTGCTTTCAACAGGAAAAGACTGTGAGGTAGATAAACAATACAATATATTAATAGAAATGATCACAAAACTAAAATATTAGTTGAACAGAAATGGCAAGTTACAGTGAAGCCACTGCATTGGTATCGGTTAGCTTTTACCGATACCAGTATCGTATCGGGCCGATACTGGTATCGGCATCGGTGCATCCCCACTGGGTACTAATGCTACTTCCCAACTAGTTTGTGTTCAGTAGAAAAGCCTCAAGTTTTGTTCCTAAATGAGAGTAAAAACCTTTTTGTCCTAATGCTGCATTTACCTGATGTCTCCCGCCCCAGACATGTCTGCTCTGATTTCCTTGAGGAAGCGAGCTCAGGGGGAGAAACCACTGGCTGGGGCCAAGATTGTGGGCTGCACTCACATTACTGCTCAGACAGCTGTACGTACTCTCATTCCGTCTGATTTGACCTCGGCTACCTTTTATGCATCTGTATTTTTCATCTTTTCCTCTCAGGTGCTGATAGAAACCCTGGTGGCTCTCGGAGCTCAGTGTCGCTGGACGGCCTGTAACATCTACTCCACTCAGAACGAAGTGGCAGCTTCTCTTGCTGAGATAGGTGAGGTCACCCCCCCACCCCACCCCCACAGATGATGTCATTATTATTTTTTTTATGAATTTCATTGTATAACAGTTTTAAAAATATAAAACCAGGATTTTTTGCAGCTTATAGTGGCAAAGAATTAAGAATACAAAACACTAAATCTCTATACAGTGGGGCAAAAACGTATTTAGTCAACCAATGATTGTGCAAGTTCTCCCACTTAAAATGATGACAGAGGTCAGTAATTTTCATCATAGGTACACTTTAACTGTGAGAGACAGAATGTGAAAAAAATCCATGAATTCACATGGCAGGATTTTTAACGAATTTATTTGTAAATCAGGGTGGAAAATAAGTATTTGGTCAATAACAAAAATTCAACTCAATACTTTGTAACATAACCTTTGTTGGCAATAACAGAGGTCAAACGATTACTGTAGGTCTTTACCAGGTTTGCACACACAGTAGCTGGTATTTTGGCCCATTCCTCCATGCAGATCTTCTCGAGAGCAGTGATGTTTTGGGGCTGTCGCCGAGCAACACGGACTTTCAACTCCCTCCACAGATTTTCTATGGGGTTGAGGTCTGGAGACTGGCTAGGCCACTCCAGGACTTTCAAATGCTTCTTACGGAGCCACTCCTTTGTTGCCCAGGCGGTGTGTTTGGGATCATTGTCGTGTTGGAAGACCCAGCCACGTTTCATCTTCAAAGCTCTCACTGATGGAAGGAGGTTTTGGCTCAGAATCTCACGATACATGGCCCCATTCATTCTTTCCTTAACACGGATCAGTCGTCCTGTCCCCTTAGCAGAAAAACAGCCCCAAAGCATGATGTTCCCACCCCCATGCTTCACCGTAGGTATGGTGTTCTTGGGATGCAACTCAGTATTCTTCTTCCTCCAAACACGACGAGTTGAGTTTATACCAAAAAGTTCTACTTTGGTTTCGTCTGACCACATGACATTCTCCCAATCCTCTGCTGTATCATCCATGTGCTCTCTGGCAAACTTCAGACGGGCCTGGACATGCACTGGCTTCAGCAGCGGAACACGTCTGGCACTGCAGGATTTGATTCCCTGCCGTTACAGTGTCTTACTGATGGTGACCTTTGTTACTGTGGTCCCAGCTCTCTGCAGGTCATTCACCAGGTCCCCCCGTGTGGTTCTGGGATTCTTGCTCACCGTTCTCATGATCATTTTGACCCCACAGGATGAGATCTTGCGTGGAGCCCCAGATCGAGGGAGATTATCAGTGGTCTTGTATGTCTTCCATTTTCTGATAATTGCTCCCACAGTTGATTTTTTCACACCAAGCTGCTTGCCTATTGTAGATTCACTCTTCCCAGTCTGGTGCAGGTCTACAATTCTTTTCCTGGTGTCCTTCGAAAGCTCTTTGGTCTTGGCCATAGTGGAGTTTGGAGTCTGACTGTTTGAGGCTGTGGACAGGTGTCTTTTATACAGATAATGAGTTCAAACTGGTGCCATTAATACAGGTAACGAGTGGAGGACAGAAAGGCTTCTCAAAGAAGACGTTACAGGTCTGTGAGAGCCAGAGATTTTCCTTATTTGAAGTGACCAAATACTTATTTTCCACCCTGATTTATAAATAAATTCTATAAAAATCCTGCCATGTGAATTCATGGATTTTTTTTTCACATTCTGTCTCTCACAGTTGAAGTGTACCTACGATGAAAATTACTGACCTCTGTCATCATTTTAAGTGGGAGAACTTGCACAATCGGTGGCTGACTAAATACTCTTTTGCCCCACTGTATATACAGTATATGAGCTTATTTTGCACCTGTTTATTTTTCATCCATCGTGTGTGTGTGTATGTGTGTGTGTGTTTTGTCTCCTGCAGGCGTTGCTGTGTTTGCATGGAAGGGTGAATCAGAGGATGATTTCTGGTGGTGCATCGATCGCTGTGTCAACACCGAGGGCTGGCAGGCCAACATGGTATGATTTTAGATGATCGTCACAGTTTTTAACAACCATCTTTAGCCGGGCCCTATCTCTCAGCTGCTAATTGATCTTTATCTCATAGATTTTGGACGATGGTGGAGATTTAACCCACTGGGTGTACAAAAAGTATCCCAGCGTCTTCAAAAAAGTCCGGGGCATTGTGGAGGAGAGCGTCACTGGTGTTCACAGGTCAGCAGGGGACTTTAATTGATGGATGATCAATGTTCAAACAGGAAATAATCCAGTGTTTAGACTACAACAAGTGCCTATTTGAATCTGTGTGAAGTGGCTCAGTATGAAATGATCTAGATGGACAAACACAGCCTCTGATGACTGTGTCAACAGAATCCGTATTCTGTGTTATATAAGTCATGATAATAAACAACGGTGTAACGGAAAATCTAATTAGGTCTGATTTGACTCCAGGCTGTTCGAGAAACATGACTGAGCAACACTATGTGTGCAGCTCTTACTAGACTTGATTAACCAGATGCTCTGGAGAGTGAAGGTGATGCAGGATTCAGGAACGGCCTTTCGGGTTTCTTGGAAATGCGTCGAGTGTTCTGATTAGTCCGAACATTCGTGTCCTCTCAGATTGTACCAGCTGTCTAAGGCCGGTAAGCTGTGTGTCCCTGCCATGAATGTGAACGACTCAGTCACCAAGCAGAAGTTTGACAACCTGTACTGCTGCCGTGAATCTATCCTGGACGGGTGAGCAGACTGAGCCCTTCAGAAACGTCTGTTAAATTCAAATGCATGAAGATGATCTAGATCTTTTATTCTGTCCGTTTCCGCCAGCTTGAAGAGGACCACTGATATAATGTTTGGAGGGAAACAAGTGGTTGTGTGTGGTTATGGAGAGGTGACTCATTTCTAAGTAAAAAAAAACAAACTTTACATAAACTGATCTTTGTTTTTACCGGAGCTGTGGACCTTTTGTTTCACCGTGTTGTAATCTGTAGGTGGGAAAAGGCTGCTGCACTGCTCTTAAAGCACTCGGAGCCATTGTGTGCATCACAGAAATTGACCCCATCTGTGCCCTGCAGGCTTGGTGAGTCACTACACATCACTATTCAGCACTTCTACGTCAACAAATGCGCTCCACCAGATTTGACATTTGTCAGATTTTTGTATTCAGTTAGCTGCGATCGTCTGTTTTCATCGTTTTGTTGAAATCAGCATAAACGTGTGTGTTTGTGTCTGAACAGTATGGATGGATTCCGAGTGGTGAAGCTGAGCGAGGTCATTCGGCAGATGGATGTGGTGATAACTTGCACCGGTACTGTGCCCTGTGCTGGGACATCTATTACTTCTGCTTTAATGGTCACTGTTTGTTGTATGAAACTGAACTTTACGTTTGAATAGTTGAAAGAATTTTGGTTGGTGTCATTTTTTAAGATTCTGCAGCAATAAACTCATTAATGTTTATTTTTCCAATCAAAACAGGCAACAAAAATGTCGTTTCCAGAGAACAGCTTGACCGAATGAAGAACGGCTGCATCGTTTGCAATATGGGACATTCCAACACTGAGATAGATGTGGTAAGCTTCAGATTTGAAGTTTTAAGGTTTCCAGAAAAGCCCAAGGTAATATGCTCATGATCAAATGCATATTAGAATGTAAAGTACAGATTGGCACATTCACACTCAAGAGACATGCTGGTTTGTTCTTTCTAATCTCAAATAATCCAGTAAATTCCACAAAAACGTCTCCAGGCCTTATTCCTAACTTTAATTTATCAGGATTAAAGCTCCCAGTTTAAAAATCCAGAGAGCTGCTTACTTGTTAAAGAGGCAACAACTGACCAACAAACTCTTTGGTGAGCTTTTAAAACTCCCTCAGCAGAGACTGTTTAACCAGAGTTTGTTTATCGTCACAATACCATAATCCTGCATAGAAATGACCTCCATCAACATCGTACAATAGTCTGGACGTCGTTTTCCTGTCATGTTGAACTGAACATTGCACTGACTCAGCCATTGTTTATGGTGTGCACATTAGTAAATGTCAATCATCTTTATTGGCAGATGAACATAGACACCTCATTGGGTGCTGGAGAGTGTAACAGTGTCGCCGCCATATTGGATAGGTCTCCCAAGTCTCCAAAGTCAAAGCAGAATGAGCAATTATGCCTGTTTGGTGTACTATTGAAAACAGATCACGAGGGATTACTATTTACTTTTTTAGCCTACCTGATGAAATTTTATATTTTATTTATTTTAATTTATTTAGTATAATTGTGTTTATATTTAAATTATCATGCCATAACTCAGGGGTCCTCAATTATAATGGTCCGAATCAAGAGGGCCGGATGCTGCTCTTTCTTTGGATCGCTGGCTGTAATGCACATAACACACAAGCTTGCAATATAAAGCAGGACAGCACCTGTCCCCCTCCAGCTCGGCTGTGTGACTGCACTAACCTGTCCTGTGTGACCCTCACCAGGTGACCCTCATGTCCATGCTGTCTCTGGAGGAGCAGATAGGAAACAAGATCTCCTGTAACTTAAAATGAACCAAAGCTTCCTCCCAGCTTCTCTTTAAGCTGAATTTAACATCAGTTTATCATCATGAAACAAAAGAATAAAGTGGAACAAGAACTTCTATCTTCTATTTCTCTCTATTTATAACTTCTCCGTGTCCCTAAATAAGATGATTACGCTGCAGCCGCCGTCACTGGCCCCGCTCCCTCCCCAAGACCGGATCTCCCGACATCACAACACTCGGTCTGACTGAGCGCTTCCAGGAGGAACAATAATGAAATTATGAAAATAATAACGCGTTTGGAGCCGCGTCTTCCGATCCTCTCTTGTGTGAGAGCACACAATCTCTCTCTCTCTCTTTCTCTCAGTCGCTGACTGAGCGAGCGGAGCGTGCCGCGCGACAACCCGCTCAATTAACATAATTCACCGCCCAAATCCAACAGAACCTATCGGGCTGACTCGGTTCGGTCTCAGGTTATAACTCCAGTGCTCAGCCCTGCAGTACCACATAAAGGCAGAACAAAGTTTCCTACCCCGTAAATGTGGAGAACACCGCTCTGACAGATGTGGATGCTGCACTGATGCCGCCATTAAAATAACAAAACCACATTCCACTATAACTGATTATGGCTCCTCTTCTATGATGCAGAATCGTTTATGCCTGCATCTCATGCATTGATTATTTGATTATTTTCCTCAGCTCTATCTATCCTACACATCCCGGTCAGCCGTCGGGGTGGGGGGTGCACGCAGGGTTTGGGGGCCACAAAGAGAGGGCTCGCGGGCTGGACGTGGCCCGTGGGCCGCCATTTGAGGACCACTGCCATAACATGTCTGATTTTGTGAAAAAGCTTGATAAAATGTGTTTTTTAGTAGGTAAACTCCTCCCTCAGTAGAAATGAATCCACTGGGGGCAAATGGAGACCCATCTAAGATGGCGGTCGACCACTACGGCAGCTCTAATAGGCAGTGCCAGTCCATGGGGCATATATGTGTTTATGTCTGTAGGTTAACACATAAACACATTTCTAGTATTTTTTGAACTGCATACCACCTGCTGCCTTTCATGCCAAAATGATGCAGTTGTAGCTGTTTTAAGTCTTGAGAATATTATTATTCACCAAATCACTAAATATCAACTGCTAGCACTCAGAGCATGCAGTGGGAGTGACTCCCAGCTGCTAACACATCAGATTTGAGCCCAGCATCTGTATATTTGACCAAGTTAAAGCCATTTTGTTTTTCAGAATGTTGATCAGCTTTGGTGGCCATCTTGAATTAGGGCTGACTCCACTAGTGAATCAGATCAAGGCTGATTATTGGATTAAATTAGTTTTAGATTATTATAGGTAATGTTTGTTGAAGTGTAGTATTTTTTAGATGTTTATATATATTTTTCTATCCACAGGCAAGTCTCCGCAGCCCTGAACTGACCTGGGAGAGGGTTCGCTCTCAGGTTGACCACATCATCTGGCCAGATGGAAAGAGGGTGATCCTGCTGGCAGAGGTAAACTCTCACAAAGTTTTTTTTTTCATCACCGTTGGTGAGCAACACAAAATAAAAGTTATTTTATTCCAGAAAAGCAAAATCCACAATCGTGTGTCTTCTGGACCATTTTCAGGGTCGCCTCTTAAACCTGAGCTGTTCTACGGTGCCTACTTTTGTTTTGTCCATCACTGCTACAACTCAGGTAAGAGGTCTGATCCTGCAGGAAGGAACGGGGTTTTTAAAGACATTGTGATGATTTGTAGCCATTATACGCTCTGTGTTGTCCGTAGGCCCTGGCTTTGATCGAGCTGTACAACGCTCCAGAAGGAAGATACAAACAAGATGTTTATCTTCTGCCCAAGAAAATGGGTAAGAGTTGGAGCTGCTGCTCACTGCTGCCACTTTTGAACATTACTTGAGAAAAGCACCACCCAAAGATCATATGTGTTACAATCCGTCTCTGTGATCAGACGAGTATGTGGCAAGTCTGCACCTTCCCAACTTTGACGCCCACCTGACGGAGCTTTCTGACGAGCAGGCCAAGTACATGGGGCTCAACAAGAATGGACCTTTCAAACCTAATTATTACAGGTCGGTGTCACTCTGATGCATCTTTTCACTGCTTTTTAAAAATTTATTACACAATGTTTGTGCAAAAAGCTGACGACTTTGTATTTTGTTCTCAGGTATTAGAGAGGACGTCTGGAACTCGGTGAAGGGTTCAAAGTTGGCACGGGACGAACAGAGATGTCTATTTTACTTTCAAAAATGCTACAAAACGGAGAAGTTATTTTACTTAAGCCGAATGTAACTTATTAATAGCACCTCAAAAAGTAGTTCAACATTTCAGAGTAATGCATATAGAAAGGATTTAATATATAACTAATTAACATTTTGTCTTGTCTTTGAAGAGCGGCCTGCTTGCATGTGTTGATGCGGATTAGTTTTGTTCCTTGATCGCAAAGCTGCCGATTCATTCGTTTACTCTACTTACGCACAGTGCCAAATTATGGCCGTATTTATATATAGTGGCATTGAGATTTGACAGGCACATTCCTTGAGCTGGAGTTTAGGCTGAGCCACAACAAACTTGAGTTATATGAATATTTTATATGCATGAAATTATCTCATTGAATGAATGGTGTGTGTGCTTACAGCCTCTAGTTATTTAAACAAAGTGACTGGATTTTAATATGATTTAATATCTTACCTGTGGAGCTGCAGATCACTACTGAAAGGATCATAAAACTCTGTGGTAACAAGAGATTTAGATGGATTAATGTGTGTTTTGTTTAAAGATAGCTGGCCTTCCATATTCCCCCCAAAAGGAATGTGGGAAACCTCCAAGGACAAGAGCCACAGGAGCTTTTTCCAACTACAAAAATGTCTTATTTAATCCAAGTTTCCATTTGCTCACTCACATTCCACCTGAGATCTTTGTCACTAAGCCTTCTGAATGGACGATGCCTTTTAAGGTTTTGGTATGGATGTGCCTTTTTAATCTGTAACAGCCCTGTCTTTGAAGAAGTTGGGACTCTGGACAAACATTTGAGTATATACATATTTTAAAACCGAAATTTGAATTTTATGTCGGTTACATTTATTTTCTAAAATTCAAACAGGTTTAAGAAAATGAAACAGGAAGAAAGTCGGGGCAGTTAAATGTAGTTTTGTTTAACAGGAATCACAGAAACTTTAACTTGGCCAAAAGCGTAAAGAAAGATTGAATAGAAGGTGTTTTAAAGCTTCACCTGATCAGAAAATTTCAGATTCATGTAATAATTGTCTAAATTATAATTTTTTTTTCCCAATTTGCAATCCTCACAGCCTCCCAACTTGTTTAGAAACAGATTTGTTTAACTTTCATCATCACTGACCTTAATTTAAGTTTTTGTAAAACCACTTTCATGTGCTTTTGATGTCTTCCTTCTCTGCTTGTAGAAACTGTTAACTTCATGTATGTTTGCTGAAACATATTAGACTTGGACATATCATTGCTACTGTCCTCCTTTGATTTAACAGGGTGATCTTTAACATTTCATGTAATTAAAATGACATAAGTGTATGCTACTGTATGAACACTCTAAAAAAATGAATGCATTAAATCAGCAATAAAACAAATGTTTTTGAAAGATACTGGTAACAGTGAAAATTTGTTTTTATTAATCAAACCAGACTAAATAAAGGGGTAAGCATTACTTTCCCTTAATGTCACTTGAGTGTCTTTCTATGCAGCATGATTTTCTAATATTATCAGTTCAGTCACTGGGCTTGGAGGAGGAGGAAGTGGCAGAGAGGGTTCTGGAAATGTGCTTGTTACTATATAAGCTACAGGCCTGATTCGGTCCAGGCGCAAGTAAAGAACAAAAAAGCGACGGCAGGAGTGACACGAGAAAACTGCAGAAATTCCAATAACTATTATTTTGTGGACTAAACCAACAGAACTTTGACAGTTAATATTTCTTCTCATCAGAATCTGGCTAGGCCCTCGCTACGAGAATCTCCATCGGCATTGATCTGGGCACCACTTACTCTTGTGTTGGGGTTTTCCAGCATGGAAAAGTGGAAATCATTGCCAATGATGAAGGCAAGAGATTTAGATACTACCAAAAACCAAGTAGCCATGAACCCCACCAACACCAACTTTGATGCCAACTGACTCATTGGGAGGTTTGACGGTCCGGTGGTCCAGTCTGACACGATGCTCTGCCTTGCAAGGTGATCAGTGACAACAGAAAGCCCAAAGTCCAGGTTGAATATAAAGGTGAGATGAAGGTGTTCTGTCCTGAGGAGATCTCTTCAATGGTCCTGGTTAAAATGAAAGAGATTGCTGAGGCCTACCTGGGACAGAGGGTGTCAAATGTCATCATCACAGTGCCAGCGTACTTCAATGACTCACAGAGGCAAGCCACCAAAGATGATGGGGTGATCTCTGGGCTAAACATTCTGAGGATCACCAACGAGCCCACAGCAGCAGCCATCGCTACAGCCTGGATGAACACAGAAGAGGAGAGAGTAACACTCTTATCTTTGGTCTTGGTGAAGGCACCTTTGATGTGTCTATTCTGACCATTGAGGATGGCATATCTGAAGTAAAAGCAACAGCAGGAGACACACACCTTGGCGGGAAGGACTTTGACAACTGAATGGTCAACCACTTTGTTGAAGAGTTTAAAAGGAAACATAAGAAGGATATCAGTCAGAACAAGAGAGCGGTAAGGAGACTCCGGACAGCCTGCGAGAGAACCAAGAGGACCTTGTCATCCAGTTCTCAGCCTAGCATTGAGATCGATTCTTTGTTTGAAGGCATTGACTTCTACACTTCAGTCACAAGAGCATGTTTTGAGGAGCTCAACTCGGATCCCTTTTGAGGAACACTGGAACTAGCTGAGAAGGCCCTGCAAGACACTAAACTGGATAAATCCAAGATCCATGAGATTATTTTGGTTGAGGTTGCCACAAAAATTCACAAAATCCAGATGCTCCTACAGAACTTCTTTAATGACAAAGAACTGAACAAGAGCATCAACCCTGACGAAGCTGTGGCCTATGGTGCAGCAGTCCAGGCTACTATTCTCATTGGAGACACCTCAGAGAACGTACAGAATTTGCTGCTCCTGGATGTCGTACCCATCTCTGCAGGTGGAGTTATGACACCTCTTATCAAACGAAACACAACAATCCGCACAAAGCAGACCCAGATCTTCTCCAGATACTCCGATAACCAGCCAGGATTACTGATCCAGGTGTAGGAAGGGGAAAGAGCCATGGACAAAGACAACAACCTCCTTGGGAAGTTTGAGCTCACAGGAATCTCTCCTGCTTCCAGAGGCATGCCACAAATAGATGTAACCTTTGACATTGACACTAATGGCATTTTAAACGTGTTCAGCACCGACAAAAGCACCGGCAAGGAAAACAAAATCACAATCACCAATAACAAGGGTCGCCTTGGCAAAGACGATATTGAGAAGATGGTACAAGGCGCAGAAAAGGACAAGGCAGAAGACGACAAGCAGAGAGAGAAGATTGCAGCAAAGAACTCTCTGGAGTCCTATGCCTTCCTCATGAAGAGCAGAGTGGACGACGAAGCTATGAAAGGAAAAATTAGTGAGGAGGATAAAAAAAATGGTCGTTGACAAATGCAACCAGACAATTTTCTGGCTGGTGAACAGTCAGAGAAGGGTGAGTATGAGCATCAGCAAAAATAACTTGGGAAGGTGTGCAGGCCAGTTGTGACTAAAGCCTGATTCATGCTTCTCCATCAGCTCCAACAGGGAGAGACACACACACACACGCATGGACGGAGACATTTTGCCCTCATACTTCTCCGTCTCCTGGGGAGTGTTGCAAAGCAATTCCCTGCTAGGACAACAGAGGGCGTAGCGCTGTTCTGTGGTATCCTGTCATGTATCGGTCCAAGATAGTGTTTATATTGTGTTTTTTAATATATTAGAAACTTTTTAACACTGACAAATTTGTCTCTCATTCTCCTCCACCTCTTCATGCGCTCGCCACCTCTAAACCCACGTTTCCTGTCATTTCGGTCCACAAATAAATGCTTGCTGCGCATCTTTTCACTCCTCCAGGAATTAAACGTTCATATTTTTAGAGTTTTTTCACGAGGTGTTCTTCAAGCTTCTCCGTGTCTGCCGCTAGTTATCCTCAGCTCTCTTTATGTTGTTGAGGGAGCAATGGCAGCGGTGTAGACGACAGCGGTGCCCTGACCAATCACAAGCTTGCGTTCTCCGTCTCGATGGACAGATGTTTAGAAAAGAGAGCTCGACTCCGTACCTCCTTGCAGGGCTCTCCAGCAGGCCCGCAAGGACGGATAATGGCGTTGAGTGTCTCCGCACCGACGCAGAAGCAGAAGAATGAATCAAGCTTAAGTTATATCAAGGAGCACAGTCAGGAAGATCCAGTGGACAGGATGGAAGTTCTCATAGTCTCACCATTGAAGAAGTGGATTAAATCCACAGAAGAAAGACTAATGGTGATTTCACCCTGACTGTCGGTCCCAAAGTGAATCATTTTGAGCAGGGTTACTCAAATGTAATGGTCCGAGGGCCGCTGGTAGTTCTTCACACAAGCCTGGCCCGCGAGCTGCCTATAGTATCGCTGAGAGTTTACTGAGTTGAAAGTCAAGTGGAAGAGAACATTGGAAGTTTAGAAATTTTGCAAAGTAAGGCTCCGAACAACAGTTTGGGTTTAGGTCTCATTAGCTCTAACCCTAATCATCCTTCTGGGGCATAAACTTAATAAATGCTGTCATTAATGGTGAAAACAAATATAGAATGGAAGTTTAAAGAACAATAGTTGGGATCTAAATTATTTACCAAAAATGTTAAAATAAACATATTAAATCAAAAACCAGTGCAGATCTCACTTCCTTTGTTTCCAAATAAATCATGTTTCTCAAAAGCCTTCTATGTGATTGTATTAAAGTTAAAGTTTAGATAGCAGTCCTCAACCATTCATAATTAGTTCTAAAAAAACAACAAAACAAATTGTTGATTTGACATATTTTTCACTAAATGTGCCACTAGATGACAGCCTCGAGCTGTTCCTCTGAGAACAGTTACCTGTTGGATCAAACAAATCACCTTAAAACAAAATTATTATAAAAAATCATCATATAATTCAAAAGTAAATACATTTAATCTTTTATTCGCATTGATTGGTTATAATTTATGAGTTGGTTTGTCTTATGTGTATAACAATAAAACAGCATGAACAAAATAAACGGGGTTATTTAGGGGGTTTGGATCCGCCCAGCACCTAAACGGTTAACTCACCGAGCCTGTTGCTCACTGCTCAGTCCAACCGGGCTGTGTCGCTAGGGGATGAACGGATACTTCAGGAGGAGCGTCACGTCTCCGGCTGGTGAAGGAGCACACATCTGGCGCGCAAATGGAACATTTAAAAACCTTGGTTTCCGTGGTTTAACTGAGCCGAGCCGATACCAGGGTGACTCTGTAGCAGCGGAGAGAAGAAAAGTCGCGGATTTTATCTTATTTGGGAAATATTTGAGAGACAGATGGCTCTTGGAGGCGCGTGCCGTGCGTAAAAGGCCATTTTTGTGTGTTTATCAGTAGATTTCTGACCTTCTAATGCAGCAAAGATTAATAATTGTGAAAAGTGTGGAGGAATCGTTGTAAGTTGATGAAAACATCTAATTAAAAACAACGAGCCGAGCCACTTGGACAGACTCAGTCGGTTACAGGTGGTTTTCACGCTGCGCACCACTTTGTCTCCGTCTGGATCTCAACACGCCCCATGGGTCATCATCAGAACCGGGTTCTGACATGACAGGCTGCGTTTTCTGATCTTCTTGAGAGCAATTTTTCGGTTTGAGACGGGAGCGACCAGCTTCTAAATGATCAGCTCGGTGTGCGTTTCGACTTACCGAGGGCGCAAGTCAGGAAACAAACCTCCGTCCAGATCATGTTTGAAGGAGGAGATGTCCAGAGGCGAAGACTCGGACAAGATCATCATTAACGTCGGCGGTACCCGACATGAGACCTACAAGAGCACTCTCCGGACGCTTCCGGGCACGCGCCTGGCGTGGCTGGTCGAGTCGGACTCGCAGGGCAGCTGCGACTCGGACGCAGAGCCTCCGAGCTGCACCGAGTTCTTCTTCGACAGGCACCCGGGCATCTTCGCCTACGTGTTGAACTACTACCGGACCGGAAAGCTGCACTGCCCGGCCGACGCGTGCGGGCCGCTCTTCGAGGAGGAGCTCGCCTTCTGGGGAATCGATGAGACCGACGTGGAGCCATGCTGCTGGATGACCTACCGCCAGCACCGGGACGCAGAGGAGGCCCTTGAGACATTCGAGCCACCGGACCCGGAGGATACCGACGATGACAAAGACACGCCGAAGCGGTTCGGAATCGAGGACTGCAGCGACAGGTCCAGGGGCTGCTGCGAAGTTTGGCGACCCAAAGTCTGGGCCCTGTTCGACGACCCTTACTCATCCAGAGCTGCCAGGGTGAGTCCGGCAGGTGTCTCTTCCTTTTAGGTCATTTTCTTTCACCTCTAACTAAGAATGGATGTGTTTGATTAACAAGTGCGTAAAAAGGCGCTCTTTGTTCGGAATCAACAGGTGTTGAGGAGGCTTTGCAGTGAAACATCTTTACGGGGTAAGGGTAAAAGGCATGCGTCATATATAGAGCACTGTACTTATTTAAGGGGACAGGACTCCAGTTTGGGTCACCAGGTGGGAGGACAGTGGCATATTTGGCTCGGACTGTCATAAAGAAATATTAAAGTCACTATAAATTGTTATTAATGTTTGTAACTTGATCACAAGAATCTACAAGTTTAACTTTGTGGGTTAAAACCTAAAACAGGCCAAGTTGCTCTGATGCAGCATTCCAGTTTTAACAAGACTGATTTTCTGCGTGCTGATAAGCTCCAAACAAGTGTAAAAATACACACTGCTGTTATCTCAAAGGAAACACGCTCTGCTGCTGTAAAGGGGGAAATTATTCAATTACATGAGAAGTCAACTAGTTGGATCTGACATTTAATGTGAATTCCTCACATTAAACTATTTTTCCTCTGAGCAACAAAATAAACTGTTGTTTAGCTCGTAGATAAAAGCAGAAGTAAAAATTCAACTTGACTCTGCTTTCATTCCTTTCTTCTCACCGGGGTTTGAATTCCTCTGTAAGCTTTTGAAGTGTCTTTTATACCTAATGGCTCAGCAGCAGCAGCAGCTGAAGAGTGCTTATGGAGTCAGTGTAAAAGCAAGCATCACGTGTCACCAGCAGTTGTCCAAACATCTAAGAGAGAAAATGCATTTAGTTCCAAAAGAGAGATGCACATTTTCTCTGTTTGTTTTTCCATGCACATTTGAATGCTCTATTCAGAAAAGCTCCATTTTGCAGCCGCCTAATGTTCCTCCAGCTCTCGTTGCAGCTACTGTCTGCTATAGCGTCTGGACCAGGTGGCATTTGCAGGCTGTTGTTGTGGAAAAGCAGACATCTCTGAGTCAGAACCGCGTTGGTGTTGCCTCGCCTTGACCCCCTCTTTCTGCTGTGTCTGCCAGTTCATCACTTCTGTTTCCTGAGCTGAATATTCACCAGTCAGTCAGTGCAGATTTCTGAGGGTCGGCTAACAGAAGCAAATTTCTAGTGAAGATATATTGACCCGGTCATGATGCTGTCTTCATTTCCTATCCAGACAGATCACGCATGTATGTTCACTCTGCATGCATTATGGGAGCATGCTCTCTGAGCGGATGAAGGTACTCGCGTTTCCTTTATGGCCTTTTAATTTCAGAGAGCTCTTGAGCTCAAATCAGGTAATGTGATTCCTAAAAGCTGTCTATCACCAGAGGAGATTATAGGTCTGCTTAGCCTTAACCCAGCTGAAACGCTCTCTTGTCTCTTCTTTACATCTGAATTTCAGACTTTCAGTGTAAATTTGAAGGTATTTTACCTTCACATCAAATGAACTTCTTATGAAATATTGCTGCAGGCAGTAACGCAGGGCACAGTTGTCATGGCAACCTCATCCGATTGTGTCAAAATCATGTCTCCAAGTATGTCTGTCACAAATGTTGCTGTTCTTCAATTACCCAGTCCTGAACTGAAGGAGCCTCTAGGATGAAGCTAAAACATCTCCAATAAACATTTGAAGTCCATTTTTGTCTCTTAAAACCAAAGAAAAACACTTTTACACTTTCTCGTTTGGTAGTGATGTTTTGAAATTCACACTCATGTTTCGGTAGCACAGAGAAGAGTTCTGAGGTGCTCAGGTTGATGCTCAGCATCTCTGTCTGCTCTCATCCTTATAATCTACTTCAGTGCTGTGGAGGAGCTCCTCGCCTCTCGTCTAACTGATGAGGACCGCTCCTGCTGCTGTACAACGGTCATACGTGAAGCTTTATCAAAGATGAGAAGGACATATTGTTCCTCAGAGACCTGTGACTTAAGCCTCTTGGTAATTTGTCTCGTTATACGTGATATATAGATACTCACCACCATCTTTCTGGGTATTTTTGGCTCTCTGAATTTATGAAATATAAATGTCTGATAATAAAGTAGTTCTCCACAGATACCCAGCAGAAATGTGGCTGTCAGACTGAGTAGTGGAGATTAATTCCCCGTCCTCAGGTGCACCGACTCACAGACATGAATCAGTGCGACACCAAATCCAGTGGCTGCTTATGTAGCGAGCGTCCACTTTGTGGTCCGTAGAATACGCTGCTTTTTCAGGGTAGTTGAGGCTGCGGTGAGTTTTATTGTACAGACCCTGGTTTGGACTCCCTTTAGGACTTGTTCTCTATTTTAAGGTGGAATGGAGAATATTACGTAACCCTACTTGGTTCCAGAGTCAACACACCCTTCCTTGTAGGTTCCCGTTACTCAGTGGTTTTGAGTACTAGGGCGAATGGTTACTGGAGGCCAACACAGCTGACTATTATTTGGGTCTTATCAGGATTAATGTGCGCCTCTGTCAGCATATGTGGGCGGTGGTAACTAGAAAATGATTCCCGTTAGGTGATCTGTCTAACATGGATTAATCAATTAATCTACTTGAGCCACCCTTTGAAATGGTTCCTTCCCACGCTGGCCAGAGACTTTTTCACATGTGCAGAACAGAGCCTGTTTGAACCAACTAACCATATACGGCTTATCACCCTTAGGATGTCCCACTACCATAGGGAGGAGAGGCTAAGCTCTCATTACCTAAGGTATCTTTTCTTATCTGTCACAACCTGATACAAGTCCTGAAGCACAGGTACAAGCAGTAAGGTGGCTTACCTTTGAAGAAGAAGAAGAAGAAGAAGAAGAAGAAGAAGAAGAAGAAGAAGAAGAAGAAGAAAGTACCATTTCTATAGCGCCTCTCAAGATAAAAATCACGAGGCGCTTCACAAAAACAAAAAAATGTAAAAATATAAAAAAGCATTTAGAAAATGTTTAAAAATATATATAAAATGAGCAAAAATAGACAATTGTGATTAAAAAAATGTTAAGAAAGAGGAAAGTGAACAGGAAAGAGGGAAATCAGTGGATCCTGAGGAAGGTGGAATAGGTGGGGAAAGCAGAATAAAGGTTGGTTTATGCTTGACGCGTTCGTATGATTGAATAATTACTGCTTGTTCAATTCTAATGACCAACATTGTAATGAGATATAAACTATGTTAAAAACATCTTTTGATAATATTACAGTATTTACATTTTTGGCATTGATTCTAATTAACCTCTTAGAAAAGTGCTGGTTTTAGCACGTGACTTATTTTGTTTCAGCTCACATAATTGCTGCTTTCCACAAACTCACAGAGAATTATCCAACACATTTGCTCTCTCACTCACCTCATAAGGCCTAAATGTTAATTTCCAACCACCATTACTTTGTTATTAATGTGTTGGTCTGAATTTTGTTTTTATGGCTTGTGGAAACATAAATATGAACACAACTTTACTAATATTTCAAATGACCTAACTATCCAGAAATGTAATTACTCAAATGTGTGGTTCACTGAAAATACATTTTTAAAGATAATTTCTGATTATAATAAGTCACTCTGGGTTTTTCATGCAGGCTGAACATAAAAATGGTCTCCCACACCTACCTCCTGCATTAGCTTCTGATAGGAAACAGACGGTGAAACTCTAGGATTTGAAAAGCCTGGCAGATCTACGTCAAACTGAACATCCATGGACTCACCCATTTTGATTCCCGATGGGGAAGGTTGTTGTTTTAGGGATGGGTACTGAATTCGGTACTTTTTAAGGTACCGACCGAATTCCATAGTACCGACCGAGCACCGATTCACGTCGTTTCAAACGTTGCCTCGTTTCGGTACCCGTCCTTCATAACGAGAACTTTCCAAGACAGCTGCGCATGCGCAAGAGCGTTATGTCGTCGGTCCCTGCGAGCGAGTTGTAAACAGAGCAGCATGGGTAGAAAGAAAGTACGCTAACGCTTGGGTCCACTTCACTAAATGTGATGGGTAACTGGGTGATGATGAAACTAGCGACAGACAACGATCTAAGTGAGACATCCTCATCTTAATCTGCTCCGGTAGGTAAATAAAATGTTTAAGATAACGTTAGCTTGATATGTTAGCTTCTGTTTCGCTAATGGTGCGTTCGCTTTCTCCTCGGAACTCCGAATTTCCGACTAGACCATGAACACGCTCTAAAGTTTGGCTTCACTTTACTAAATGCGGGTGATTGGGTGAAGATGAAACCAGTGACAACGATCTAAGTGTGAGGCATCTAGCTTGATATGTTAGCTTCCGTTTCGCTAATGGTGCGTTCGCTTTCTCCTCGGAACTCCGAATTTCCGACTAGACCATGAACGCGCTCTAAAGTTTGGCTTCACTTTACTAAATGCGGGTGATTGGGTGAAGATGAAACCAGCGACAACGATCTAAGTGTGAGGCATCATCGTTTTAATCTGCTCCATCAGTTAAATAAGCTGTTAAAGATAACATTAGCTTGATATGTTAGCTTCCATTGCCACCGTTGTTATCAGCTAATGGTGCGTTCGCTTTCTCCTCGGAAATTCTATCTTCCCAGTAGGAAAAATCAAATGAAAAAAGACGGCAAAAGGAATGAAGATACGCAGTAAATGCAGTTCACAGTAATGATGTTTGCTTCAGTTTAATTATCAGCTTATAAAACTACAAGGACGATATTAATACAAACAGTTGAATGTTATTTATCGTGACATTATATATTGAGAAAAAAATTGTGTTCTTTCCCCTCTGCTCTTCTCCCTATACACCAACAGCTGCACCTCCAAACATGAGTCTGTCAAACTAATTAAGTTTGCTGACGACACCACCATCATCAGACTCATCTCTGATGGGGATGAGTCTGCTTACAGAATGGAGGCGGAACGGCTGGTGTCCTGGTGCAGCCACAACAACCTGGTGCTAAACACCCAGAATGTTGTGGACTTTAGGCGACCCCCCCCCCCCCCCCATCCCCACCTTAAACCTGTCTGACACTCCTATCACGATGGTGGACT